TTATACTTTTTCTGTTAAATATTTACACCTACAAGATAAGAGTCAATTAACAATCCACCATTGTGTGATGCCTAGTCACTTGATTTAACTTATCAACGAAAGGCAAAAGATACCAAAGGCACATTCAAACTTACAAGTCGAAAATAAACCGACAACGTCATGGCAATAAAAAACAAAACAAAAATAAACCCCAAATCCAATAAAAAAAAAATTAAAACTGGGGCTCATTCTAGGTGCTTCAGAAAGGATTCGTTATTTACTTTATTTTAGTACAAATTCAATGATTAGTTTAATTCGGTGATGTCATATACTTGGAAAGGAGAACGGGGGTTGCTTGATTAATCTAAGTATAGTGTAAAAAGACCGTCAAATTTTCAAGAGAACCCCATCAACTTTGGAAAACCAACAGTCATCCCGTTTTTTTTTTGTCGGGATTGCGTGTTTCTAAATGATATTTTGTAGACTTGTTTGTCTTTTCGGCGTTTTACGTTATGTTGTTTGCCAAGGTTTTGCCGGTCTCTCTTTATTTGCGAGTTTGTTTCGACCATTTGTGTCTTCCGCCTCGATTTTAATATAAGAAAGGCAAAATGTTATCAGATAATGCAATTTAAAGCCTTAACAAATCGACTAAAACTGTCATGAAGTGTAACATTTGCAAATAATAATTACCAACAATATTATCATATCATGAAATAAGAAAACAATATGAAAATTATATGCAATTCTAAAAAAAATACATACATTTTTTTTCAAAACAATCAGTTAAATATCAAAATATATCAATAAAACAAATAATTGACAATCCGGACGAACGAGCAAACAAAAACAAAAATACTTGTCTTCTTCTAAGACTCAGATTAATAATCAGTTTTCGAATTATTCCAATAAATAATAGAAATACACATGTTTTTTTAGATTTCGATTTTGATTTGTGCAAAACATTATTCTTCGAAACATTCATGTATTTGCACATGCAGTAGCTGCTCTGTTAGCTGAAAGCCGTATGAATTTATCTGTAACTGTGCATACATGTAACATATGTTGGCTCGATGGTTTACATGGGTATGTTTCAAAAACTTTCGTCTCACTTGCCTGCTGCAGACGTTTTCTGATTGTAGTTATGTTACATTAATTTCTGTTAACAAAATGGTTTAACTGAATCAAGAAATGTATCAAACGATAAACTTTAAGACATGAACTAGTTCGTATCTTACCAATCTTTAAAGCTAACAGTTTGTTTTACATTGTTAAAAATGTAAGTACTAATTGAAAAATGTTCTACTTGAAATCGCAATGTAAAAACAGAATTCAGCGATTACTTTACCACCTATGTTTTAGAAAAGAAGAGTTCTTAAAATTTTCTTAAACCTAGATATACATGTGGTATTTCTAATAATTGTCTATCAACTATTTTTTATTTGTATATTCAGACATCTAACACTCATGTGCAAATTTTCAACTGAAAATTAATTTTGCTTGACGAAATCAGCTCAGCTTGTTAATAGTATTTACAAATGTGTGTGGAGCTTTAAAGAAGAAAAAAGTTACTTCTAGATCATTTAAACCCCATTTGCTAAAAAAACACGGACAATATCATGGCCCTTCAGTAAAGCAACGAGTAACGCACTCTAGCTGATGTAACACATCACAGTAAACTAAAAATAAATTTAGCGTACCCAACCAAATGATCAACCTGTCAAAGATCAGTCATCAACCAGGCAGAACTAAGGCCGCGTTTGTTTAAGCTCTCTCCATGATGGACGACGGATCTGTATATTTGACTGATTTGACGGATTGCGTTCCAAATGAAAGTTTAATATGTTTCGAAATATGGTCGTCTAGGTCTTTATAGGGCGCTATGTCCAATTTTTGAATATCAATTTGAGATACAGGAGAAATGAAATGGTCAGTTTACATTTAAAACATGAGATTTCTACATAAAAAATGTTTTTGTCAGAATTAAATACTTCTGTAGAATTAAAATGTAGATTGTATGTCTAGTTGGACATGCGAAGTTCATAGAATAATATTGATTTAAAAGAACACTATATAACAAGGAAGTCTATTATGTCTGGTTTTTTTGTTTGTTTACACATTGTTGTCCATATAAAAGAGTTCTAAGGGACAGTCATACGAGTGAGAGGTTTAGCTAGATATAAAACCAGGTTTAATTCATCATTTTCTACATAATGAAATGCCTGTACCAAGTCAGAAGTATGACAGTTGCTATCCATTCGTTTGAAGTGTTTGAGCTTTGAATTTTGTCATTTGATTAGGGACTTTCCGTTTTGCATATACCTTGGAGTCTGGAATTTCCTTATGTAGAAAATTGTGGATGAAACTTGATTCTACAGGTAGCTAATCCTCTCACTTGTATGACAGTTACATGAAATTCCATTATATTGACAAGATTGTGTCAACAAAACAAACAGACATAATAGGTAAAAATGTAAAAATTAGGGCAGAGCAGTCAACATTGTTGTATCAGCAACAAACGTAACCATCAAGCCAACATATGTTATACACAGTTACAGATATGTCAACAAATAAAAAAAAAAAGCATTTAGACAAAGCACATATAAAAAATGAAAGACAACAATACAAAAAATGACCATAGCACAATAACTCAATGGTGGGATGTATAAGTACTGAGCCACACCAAAGAATATTACCAAAATGAACTAAAAATTAACGGTTAATAACATACAAAGACAAATATAAGAACACTACAACACGAAAATATGGTGATAAACAACGTTAGTACGTAGAATCTATACTTCAAGACCATCAAGTATTATTAGTGAAGTTCGTACAAAAAGTCTATCAATAAGATCTTCGTATATTCTATAACGTTTTTGGAAAACATTTGAGCTTATTTGAATTTAACAGAAGATACAGCTTGTATGGTAAAGTAAATGTGAAAAAAAAGCAGTAATGATGTTTTATTTATGCGTGCATTATGTATTTCTTTTGAACTGAGTTGTAATATGCGTTATGCTGTGTGTTTGTTTATTCTAGATTGGCAACAGGGCGAAGGATGAGATCTCACAAAACATCTTCATTCCCTCTGCATGTTTTCACTTGTCGAAATTTAGGAGGCTTCAGCCTTTGTCAATCGTGTGTGTTCTTTTGATTTTGATTCATTTGTATGTTTTTGAGTTTAGTGTAGCGTCCATTTCGCTGAACTAGTCTATCTTATTAGGGTCAGCTGAAGCAGGTGCGGTATTTTCTCGCTCTGTTGAAGACCCATTGCTGGCCTTCGGCTGCTGTCTGCTCTTTTACACATGCCACGTTTCCATTCCATATTCTATTATGTGATTGAAAACGCTTCAAACTTTTCCAAAAGAAGACTGTTTATTTATATACTTAGCAAAATTGATTATTTTTAAGTATTTGATTCATTTATGCTTTGATTCAATTATATGTGACTTATCCTGCAATATCTACGGACTTTATATGAAAAATATGCATTCAAGTCGATAGCATGTGTATAATAAAAGAATCAGTTGATGGTTGAATCTTTTTATGACACGAAATCCCTTGTCATGAACATTTTTGATTTTAAATAGAAAACTGTCATGATAATCTACGTTTTTTCAAGGTGCTGTAAACCAACTCATTTTCGAGGATACTTTATTTCCAGTTAGCAATTTTCAGCCCATATGGCGGCGATTTATTTTCGTGGTTTTCTAATTTTCTTTATGTACTTATATACAGTAAGAGAACACCAAGGTGTTATATATTCGTGACAATTTCTTTTCGAGTTATATTAATCGCTAGTAAAAATTAGTTAGCTTAAATATTGTGTATATCTAAATCCTATACGTGTGCACGTAATACATCAATGGGATGAGTAATATTAAATAAATTGGCCAATTATTAGATATAAAAAGATGTGGTATTAGTGCCAATGAGACAATCTCTATCCATGTCACAATTTGTAAAAGTAAACCATTATAGGTCAAAGTACGGTCTTCAACACGGTGCCTTGGCTCACACCGAAAAGCAAGCTATAAAGGGCCCCAAAACAATATGCGTCAAAACTAGGAATTAAAATTGTAAACTTAATATTTATCCATCGAAGAATATTTAACATAAAAATGAATTGTACTTTATATTGTTATCGATCGGATTGGTGATAAAAACAATTAGAGGCAAAAGTTATGAACGGGATATTCAAACTCAAACACAAAATGAAAATAGCATGGCAAATTTCCCGTTGTATATGCCACAAGCCTTGCAAAGCTTACCAGAAGCCTAACCCAATTAGTACATTTCGTCTTACGGTAAAATCATTCCTGACTAAAAAAAATCATCGTTAACATAATGTTATTCATAAATGCGTTATACACTTTACCCTATTTTCATACAAATTTGAGGTTCCAAACTTCTTAATTTTTTAAAACACTTTTGAAATTGATAAAGGTTTTAACATATTAATTAAAAGGATGGTGAAGGGATGAACATCTGTAGCTCTATTTCATATTTGAATGTTTTTATAGGTTTTTCAATAGAGAACATCATTTAACTTCAAAATCTTTATTCTTTTGATCATTAATTATCCATATGAGTCGATTCGTCTGTCGTACTTAATTACACACCTGGTATCTATGTTGATTTTATATTAAAATATAACAAATTTTGATCAAATTTGCATGCGGTTTGATCGTATATGTCAATTTTAATGTTTCCTTTACCGTAACTTAACCCTTCGAAGGACGTTTAAATATTATTTAAATGTATGTGTTCATATACAAATCTTGAATTACATTTTCTGTGCTAAAAGCTTTACAGTTTTATTTTATAAATATAGTTTACATACCCAATAAACATATAAGCAATTAACATAATACTATCAAGACAATTTCAATACGTTTTCATAATTAGATAACTAACAATTACGGTAATAATACATTATCAATGAATGTAATCAGAAATTCACAAATTTTAAATAAAGCTAGGCATGTACACACTTAATATGTAAACTTTAAATAGCCAGATAACAAGTAGACATGTCACACACTGATAACAATTTACAATAAATGCAATAGTGTGCATATATTTATATATATTATTGATTTCTTACTTGAATTACCCGATACGATACGCAAACTGACATTTGCTGCAATCAAGGTAAGTTTAATTCATATTTGTTTCAAGTAATGTTTGATAATCATTTAATAAATACCAATACACGACTGCGTAATAGTGCTTCACGAAAAGCCATTATAATGAAACATAGTTATTTTTTCGTTTAGAGGCATTGATCAATACTACTATTAGGTTATTTTAAACTAATATGACAAAAATTGCCATATATGAAAATATCAAATAGACCACACAAAATACAAAGGTGAAGGTCAGATGAAGCTTCATGAGATTGATTTATATATACACGTAGGGTTTTAAAAATTTATCATTGGTAATTTAACGATTATAACCTAAATAAGATATACTTTGCAATGGCAGATATAAACAAGGGGCCATTTCAAAACACTATTTAATCGAAGCTCAATAGTTTACAAACACTTACGGTGTGTAGTAAAGGATTTTTACTGAATGCCAATTACATCTGTGTTAAATTATGAACACTTTACATGCCTTTTTAATTTTTACGATTTGGTTTTCAGTCCAAGATGTTACCATCCGATGTTCCTGGGTATTAAAAAGTAGAATTTTGGACTTAATGTTTGCAACCCCCATTGTGTATCTCTTTAATTAACTAAACATTTTGTAAAAGACAATAAAGTTGAATTTTCTTGACTGTCCTAAATTGGCTCATTAAGTGCAACGGTACAGGGTTAATTGGAAAACATAACGAAAACTAAATCGTTTCTCATGCTTTTCCTTTGTGTTAGTATTACCAAACATAAGTACACAACTTCAAATGTGCGATATGCCATTTAATGCATGATCAACTTCACTATAACGTTCAACAAACGGTAATAACAATGTTATATAAATGTATCAGGACTCAACTTTGTAATAAATCAGTCACAACTGCATTAGTTAAAAATGTAGCTGCATAACTCTCGTAAAAATAGCCTGCTTATTCGGCCTCTGAACTGTTAGTGTCAATTCTTACATGAAAAAACCAATTTGAGCTGTACCCTTTTTTTGGTCTCCAATTTTGAAACTTACATCAAAACTAAATATCATTAAGCAATAGATAATTTGCTTTTTAATCCGATTAAAAAGACAAAATTACGTCTATCTATATAGAAATGTAACACATAAAATTATCCCCTTTTTGAATCTCGTTAATAAACATGATAAATTAAGTAAATCTTACAATTAATTCCAAATGTCTGCATAAGTCTTGTCGATAAGGAGAGAATGTAAAAGAGAAATGAATTATGAATTTGAAGACCATTAAAACAAGTATGCAACAAATTGTGACAATTGTATAATCTGCCTACGTATAGAAAAGGCATCATACTGCTAACGTTTTACCTATGTCAAGAAAATTATGTTTAAAAAAAAAACATCGGATCAATGATATGTCATGACAGCATAAAATATTAAACTGCTGGGTTGATTAAATCATCTAGAAAGAAACGTTGGAAGGCTTTTTCATTGACGTAAACCCAACATCTCCTCAATAGGAATTCAAAAATATGGAGTTGATGAGAAATTGCCACTTTTATGCATATCTTGAAATGCAAATATGAAAGATACTGTTTTCCTTGCGAAAAAAAAAAAGAATTTCCTTCCTCAGATTAAACACATCATCAATGCTCATCAGTTTCTTGTCATGTTTTGAAAATATATAAAGTTTAGCATACGATGTTGGAGAGCAAAGGATTAAGATTAAGAACAAAAAATAGTGTGTGAGCACGTGAAACTAGAGAATTTACAATCTAACAAATACACACTAGTTGCTTTCAAAATGAATGTCTGAAGATTCTAAACACAAGCTAATAAAAATGGTTGGCACATACCTATTCATTTCTGCCATGCAACACTATTAAAAACCCGTATTTGACATTTTGAATGGTGAATTAGCTACAATGTATACCATGAAAGAAAAACAAAGCCAACATAGATATGTTTATGTTGTTTGAGAAACAAGGAAGAAATCAAATTTCGTATGAAACTTACTCAGTCTTATTGTAGCAAGAGTCCATTAGGCTGGCGTTATAAAGATACATGCAATATCAAATATATATATACCATATTTTTTTATTTGCGATAGGAATATGTTACTAGACAGTAAGCATAATATGGAAACAAAAAGCCATGATTTGTTATTTCAACCTGATGAAGCATCATATGATCTTCACCTTCGTGCTTGGTTTGGTCTTTTTGACTTTTAAAATTTGATCCTTACTCGTGAGTCTTCTGTAGATTAAAACGTGTTTAAAAGGAGTTTTAATGCCACCAATAATATGCTGGAAAAGACAAAGGATCATCCTTTATCATAACGCTGCTCACTTTAAACTCGTCATAGATAATAGGAAAAAAATTGTGTACGCCAGACACGCGTTTCGTCAACAAAAGACGTATCAGTGACGCTCGAATCAAACACGTTAAAATGTTTCCAATAAGTACGACATTGAAGAGCATTAACGACCCCAAAATTCCAAAAGAAGTCTGTCAAATACAGGTAGGGTAATATATGTATTGATTAGAAAATCGAAAGTTGTCCTTGCAGATAAAAATATTCAACGTTTAATGACTGCATTAATAGCATGTATCAAAATAAGGTTACAACATGGTTACAGAAATGTGAACACCATACCGTTATCAACACGTAGAAATGAATGATAACAATTGTCATGACCACAATCCCTTCCTCTTTCCTCTAGTGACATCACTAAATGAGATTTGCACTACCATGAGCAACAGGGCGGGTGTCACATGTGCTTACACAATCAGGATCATATGTGTTTACCCCAGATTTTCATTGACGGTAAACATGGTAAATGAGATACCTGTTATTCCCCCATGTGGACTTCTCATGTTACTAAATGTATGATTTGCATTCGGTGTTTCTTCATTCTTAGGGATACATTTTTTATGTAATTGTTTTCTTTTGAAATATAATATTTAAGTCACATTCTTGTTATTTTCATTTCTTATATCAATGCTAAAATTGTTTTCATTTTCAATCTTTAATTTTTTTTTTTTTTATAAAGCTACATAATGGCATTTTCCTCCTAAAATAGAATTGTATATACAAGATTTGGAGATGTAATGGGGACACTGAAGTGCGACGATCCTTTCGCTGATGTGTGATGGTCTATATGACGCGTGTAGTAAGTTCAATTCTACAGGTGAGAATAATGAGAATTATATTTTTTAATTGGTTAGAATATAATTTGAATTCATTATTGCTGATAAACCATCCGGTATCGATCAAATGTAAGTGTATAATTTAAATAGATTGGTAGCTTATTTTGTTTCGTTCAGTTTTTTAAACAACTCCCACGGTTTTCCGTCATTAAAATGAGTACTATGTTTAATAGACAATAACCTTAGCATGTATCGTAGAAACCACAATAGTGGTGAATCGTCTATGAATGTTGTCTTTATTTTGCACAAGCCTATTTTAAAACGAATATTACAACGTTTCAATCATGACTGCAAATGCAAATTTTGTTATAATGAATTGTTTTAAATATAACAATTGTATTTTCAGTGTTTTACTTTTTAAAACAAACTGCTTCTAACAAACAAATTGAGTTCTATGTCCCTTTGTGAATAGAACAAACACTGAAAATACCATTTATCTAATTCAACATACTTCAGCGATACCCCAAACGCACTTCGGTTTAGCTATCAACAAGATGGCTTCATATTTTTCACCTTCGCACTTCAGAGTATTCCAAAACTTCAGCGTCAAACCTTCCCATTTCAGCTTGACCATCGCAGTTAGAAGTACACTCGTAATTCAAGCAGCGAATATTTATTGATATATTTAGCATATTACTATTATGTTGGTTTTTACCTTTGCTATATTTAGCGCAAGTATACAAATGCTGTGTGTTATTAATAGTGAATGAACAATTGTTGACATTAGGTAAAACACTGTATACAACCATATACAACTTTTCACTGTTTAAAATGTATAAATACTTACCTTACTGTCAGCGTATTCATCAATACTGTATTTGTAGTTTAGCAAAATCTACTTTTGAAACATATTTGAATATAGTACATGCTCGAGTACATGTAATAAATCCACGAAATGCACTATCGGATATTCCTCTACACTTCCTACTAAATACATCTCAAATATCTATTTCCTCCAAAGAAGTTACTTCTTTAGTAAACATAGCCAACAAAACAGCTATAGAAGCCTTGAAAAACGGTAAAGTTTACTTACATTATTATCTTAAATGTGTTTACATTCTCCATTTCACTTATTTAGATAAAATTATATGCACACATTATGTGAATAAGACACGTATATAAGAAACATATATCCATCCGAATACACATTGTAAGACTGTAACGAATCACACGTGGTGGCTGTTGATTATTTCAGTGTCAATTTTATTGTCTATCGATTTTAACATAACAAGGTCAATTCAGGCCAGTAAATTAAATGCCGTATTCACAGGTAGCGTGTTTTATTTGTTACCTGTAATTATATGCAACCTGGTGAATTGTACTTTTTATGTTAGTAGAAATAGAGTGATGTATATTGTCGATTTCTGTATGATTGTTATAAAAATGTGTTTTAACTGTACTGTTTGTAGGCATGTACAGTTATGTGAGGAGCTATTACAAAAATATGAAATTATACTTTGAAATGGCATCTAAATTTTTGATAAACTTAAGTAGTTTAAATGTAAATGGTACTAAAAATAAAGCTAAATGAGACAGAGTAATTGAATGGATTAAATTTCAAAACTGTTCTGTTTGTTTTTTACAAGAAACTCATTTTGATGAAAACATAGAAACAGAAATAAGAAATAATTCAGAATTTGATATATTTTGCAGTCACGGAACGGCCATTAGTAGGGGTGTGGCTATTTTCATTAAAAAGTTACTGAATTATAAGTTGATAAATAAACATAACGATGTAGATGGACGATTACTTCTTCTTAATGTAGAAATTGATGAAAGCGTTTTTACACTAATGTGTATATATGCATCTAATTGCAAAAGTAATAGAAATATATTTTTCCAAAAAAGTAAATAATATATTAAAAGAACAAGGAATAGGAATTACAATAATGGGGGGGGGGGGGAGATTTCAATGATACGATGAAAGCGATAGACCGAAAATAAAAAATATCCAATCAGTAAATAATTTAAAATCTTTAATAAAAATAAATAACTTAACAGACATTTGGAGATATTCAAATAAAAATAAACAACAATATACTTGACGAAGAAAATATAAATCACAGGCAAGTAGGATTGATATGATTCTGACAGGCTCAGACTTCATACCACTAGTAAAACGTTGCAAAATTAAACTTGCAGTTATTGGTTTTACGGATCATCAAAGTGTTTTTTATGAAATTTAGAACTGGTGCATCAGAAAAAGGGAAGGGGGTACTGGAAAATAAATAATTCTATTTTAGAAGGTAATGACTACATACAATTAGTTTATAAAGAAATGGATAGCTGCTTTATGAATAATCGTTATTTGAAAAACCTTGGTTTAGCATGGGATATATTTAAAATAAAGGTAAGGGAGGCAACTATAGCTAATTGTAAAACTAAAGCAAAATTTACAAGAGAAAACTTACGAACTCTTGAAAAAAAATAGAAATAAAACTGAAAATTAGAGATGAGCAAGAATCTGAGAATAACATTTTAGATAAAGATATTGAAGAACTTGAAAATTACATTACCAAAATTTACGAACAAACGGCTAAAGGGGCTCAAATTAGATCACGAGAGAATTGGGTTGAAATGGGGGGAAAAAATAACTCGTACTTTTTAGGTTTAGAAAAACAGAGACAGGTAAAAAAAAGTCAATCAATAAATTAAAAGGAGAAAATGATGAGATTTTAACGGATCAAAGTGATATACTATGTAGTATTAAAGAGTACTATAAAAAGTTATACTCGACACAAAGCCCTAATAAAACATCAAGTGATAAATATATATTTGAGACAAAACTAGAGAAAGAAATGGGTGAAAATGAGAAATCAGTCTGCGATGGGGATATTACAGTAGAAGAATGCTCAGATGCTATTTATAAAATGAAACTTAATAAATCTCCTGGATTAGACGGATTAATAGTCGAATTTTATAGAAAAATTTGGGAAAAATTAAAGTACATAGTAGTAAACATTCTTAATATTGAAAATAAAGATCAAACACTTATACATGTTATATATTCACAGTGTACAAGTGTATTAATGCTATTATTTAAAAAAGGTGATCCATTGTCACTAAATAATTACCGTCCTATTTCCCTTCTAAATATTGACATGACGCTTCAATCGTACGCTCTAGAACATCGATTGAAAAAGATCCTACCAAAATTTATTAAAGGAGACTAGACTGGAAATGTAAAGAATAGATTTATTGGTTTTAATCTTAGACTGATACAAGATATTATTGATTTCACTGATTTATACAAAATTGAAGGGGCTATAGTCTTTGTTGATTTTTCTAAAGCGTTTGACTGATTCTTTAGAATTGCATTTTATGTTTTCAGTTTTAAAACATTTTTGATTTAATGATTCTTTTATAAGATGGGTTAAAACTTTATATAGCGATATTCAAACATGTGTTATGAATAATGGTTGGATATCTGAGTCTATAAAAACGCCAGGGGTATACGCCAAGGATATCCTTTATCAGCAATATTATTTATCTTATCGGTAGAAATCATGGCGTCAAGATTAAGAAGCAATACCGGTTTTAACGGTATCAAAATCAAATTGGATTGCAAAAATCATAGCATAAACATTTCGCAACTATCAGACGATACTACTTTATTTTGTTGTTCTAAGTATGACGTTCAGTTAGCTATAAACGAAATTGATATATTTGGTTCATATTCCGGATTTGAATTAAACAGAAATAAAACAGAGGGGTTATGGGTAGGAAAGCTTAAATCATGTAAAGACAAAATTGAGTGAATCAACTGGAGCAATGGACCAGTTAAAACTCTTGGCATATACTTTGGGCATTGTAGAGAGGAATGTGAAAAACTAAATTGGAAAAATTAATTTGAAAAGATGAATAAATTATTTTGTTCTTGGCAGAAAAGTAATCTTTCTATTTTTGGAAAATTTTGATAATTAAAACACTAATTGTGCCTATTTTCACATTTGTGGGAACTGCCTGTATAGTTCCAGAGAAATATTTGAAAGAAATAGAAAAAAATTGTTTAAATTTGTTTGGGATAATAAACCAGATATAGTAAAAAGAAATTCAATCATTAGTCCATAAGGAAAAGGGGGGATTAGATATGATAGATATAAGAAATTATTTCACTGTTTTAAAAGCTATGTGGGTTAAAAGACTAGTAACTGATTGTGAAGGAGGTTGGGAAATTATACCTCAGCACTATTTTTATAATTTCGGGTCAAACTGGTTTTAGTGTTTAAAACAAACAGTGGGGATAAGCCAGACGAAAGCCTTGAAAACATCCAAGATGTTCATAAAGATATCCTTAAATGTTGGAAATTAACTGGAGGACGTCTAACGAAAAAACCTGAAACATTTACAGATATAAGAAAAACAAATATTATGGAACAATAAATTTATTAAATTTGAAAATAAAGCTATAGTTTTAAAAAATTGGATTAAAAGCGATCTAATTTATGTAAATGATATCATAGATGAAAAAGGCTGCATTTCTCCAGACATAATTTTTAATAAACTAAAAAATAAATCAAACTGGATAGCTGAAATTAATTTGGTAAGGAAATCAATACCAAAAGACTGGGTAGCAATTTTAAAGTCGGAAAATTCTGTAATGTAAATATAAAAAGAAACCAATTTATATGGAAAGGTTTACCTATAAAATTAGAATCACTATCAAACAAACTTTTATATAAGTCTCTGATAAATAAAAAAATTAAACCAGCTATTGGACCCAAAAAATGGCTGTGTATACTTGATATAGATGATGTGTTATATCAAAACAATTTATATAAATTTTTATTCAGATACATTGTATTTAAAAGAAAATAAACTTAATTTTTTAGATGGAAATTACTACAACATATTTTACCTACAAAGAAACTTTTATTCAGGTGGAAAATTGTAAACAATAGTTTTTGTAACTTCTGTACACAAGAAGAAGATTATCATCACTTCTTCATACTGTGTCCGTATTTAGAACATTTTTGGAATAAAATAAATGAAGTTTTAAAGAAGAGTAAAATAAATTTTAAGATAAAATTAAGACATTTGGTATTTGGATATAAAACTTCAGACGAAGAATATTTTGACTTTAACTATTTTTTAAAAATTGTGGGTTTTTCAATTTACAACGCCTATTACATATCTGATCAAAAGGCCAAAAATGTCAATGTTTTCTCAATTTTTCTTAATGAGTTCAATGGAAGAGTATGTATGACAATTAAAAGTAATGTGTTAGCAACCATTAGAAAACATATGAATAATCATTATGAGTGATATTATTTAATATATATTTGATGTAACAGGGAACATCAGGAGGAGCTTGGACTCCTGAAGGATATTTTAACAAGCCAGTAAATGAAATAAATATTTAGTTATGTTGTTAAAAAAAAAAAAAAAGAAAAAGAAAGAAGTACACTCGTGGTTCAGAGTCCTACATATATTGTTAGGAACAATACACATAGTGAGAGTGATATTCAATATAACCTGTTCACTCCGATTTATTTCACATGTGCATACATCTTTTGAAATTTGTAAAGATTTCCTTGTATTTGGATTTTTTTATTCATTTTCAGAATAATAATGACAACGGACCACAAGAAAGAAGAAGACAATTTTAATCGAATTCAAGTAATTATTCAAAAACATGGAACTTACGTTCAGAGGAAGTTGATAGAACACCATCTATCAAAACTAGGTTTATCATTTACAAATCTGCTCGATAAGTATGGGCATGAACTTTATCATTTATGTTATACCATGTTCACATGTTGTCAGTGTGGCACACTTGACTTTTTACCGAATCGCAGAATTTTTTCTCCAAGGGATTATGAAAGTCTTTTCGAGAAAAATGGAACGAGTCGCCTTAGTGGCCACAAAGTTACACGTGGGCCTCGTAACTGCTGCAATTATGCGAAATCAAACATAAGTCCAAACGATTTAGATTTTAGTTTGCTTGCTAAAGTTATTCCTTATTGTTGTGAGGATCTGTTCTGGCATCATTGTCTAAAAGCGAAAGGTAGAACATTAGAACAGTTTTTAAATGAAAATAAACACGACGTATACCACATGTGGAAAAAAGATCTACCTTGTCCTTTGTGCAAAAATGGAACAATTCCACAACCACCAAAAACGTTATACTTAACAGAAAATAATTGGAACTGTCTTTTTGTATCACAAAACACCCCATTATATCCATCTTCATTTAGCGCAAAAAGTGGAATAATGCTCAGTCAGCTTAATCCCCACCTTCGCTTTTCTCTAATTTTGACATTCAGTGATATCATTGAATCAATAGAGTCTTTAAGGGTCTTCCGAAACAAATTTGCTCATTCTGTAGATTTCAAATTAACAACATGTGCATATGAAAGTATAAGGTCAGATATTGAAAATGCCATTCTACTCATAGCCGATGTTTATGGACTGAGAAAAGAAGTTCAATGTGAATTGTCAAAGGCTAGCAGACCTGAATTTGCTTTATCTGAAGTTGAACTGAAATCAATACTACAGGAATTACAAAACAATACTGTAAGTTGTTAATACTATGATAATAAGTATAAATATTTCACTAGATTTTCTTGAAATATATATATGAACATTGTTTGTATATACTGTGTCACCCGTAAAAGTTAGTTTAATGTTGTGTTAAAATTGTGATAAGGGTCTTTGATATTAAAAAGTTAATAATTTTGTATTCACCATTGCAAGTTGCTTCTTGATATTGAAGACTTGATCACTGTTATAGTCCATCAGCTACCAAACATTGCATTAATGACTCATATTGATCACTATCCCAACAACAAACAACTATTTGTTATTTAATACAAATTTTACTGACCAATATATATCGTATTAGGTCACTAGCACACTATTACGGAAAATTATTCTGTGACCCAATAACATTTTAACTTATAATTGAAATAGATATAAGAAGATGTGGTATGAGTGCCAATGAGACAACTCTCCATCCAAGTCAAAATTTATAAAAGTAAACCATTATAGGTCAATGTACGGTCTTCAACACGGAGTCTGGGCTCACACCGAACAGCAAGCTATAAAGGGCCCCAAAAATTACTAGTGTAAAACCATTCAAACGGGAAAACCAACGGTCTAACCTATATAAAAAACAAGAAATGAGAAACACTTATAAACCACATCAACAAACAACAACTACTGAACATCAGATTCCTGACTTAGGACAGGTGCAAACAATTGCAGCAGGTTTAAAAGTTTTAATGGTTCCAAACCTTCACCCTTATCTGAAATAATAGTGTAACATCACACCATAGAAAGACACACTATAAAATATCAATTGAAATGGCTTAACTCAATCAAAAGACATATTATATTATATTATATATACACTGAACAAATAAATTTGATCTATGATACAATATAAACATTGATAAATACAAAATAAATAAACTGAGGGAAGAATAATTAGAGTAACAAGTTATACCGCTGTGAAATGTTAAACAATTTAACAAAAACAATATGCTAGAACAAAAATATCAGCCTTTTGTAATTCCTTTAAACACAGGTAAATGAATATAATTGTGTTGTTAGGTATACGTGTACAGTTCAAATGGAGAAAGGAAATATTAATACAAAATAAATAATTTTGATGTTCATAGTACGAAGAAGTTAAAATTTAGAGTAATACCAAACACTTATCAAATCTGGTATATAGACCAGATATAACCCTGAATAACATTAAATAACAAAAAAGCATTACAAGTAGTATCAACAGGTCAAATAAACAAGAAAGTACGATTTGAGAGTACTCGCAGTTACTGACAGCTAGTTAAAAGCCGAAAACAATTGATAATAAAAAATCAAGCACCTGAGACTAAAATCAACTAAAACACATCCAAGGGATTTAGTATTTTTAACGTCATAGACAGTCAAAGAAGACATAACTTGTGCAATGCCAAAAATAAATGTATCGACAGGCAGTAGGATAGTTAGGAGTTAACCTCTTTATAGATCAACATGAACGTGGGTGTGTCTTTATACATCCCGTTTGAAAAGAATACAAATTTAGTTATGTTTTAATTTGCTGATGACAAAATCGATATTAGTGTCAATGTAAACTATATTCAAAGATCTAATTACAACATTGGTAAGAGAACCTTTCCTAATAAGTTTGTTTAAAGGTTCGATGAGTTTACACGGATCACATAGTGATTTCCGCGCTTTAAGTACAATATTACCGTGAAATTTAGGATGTGAAATACCGTTTTTAATCAGTTTTCTTAGGTACAGCTAAATTTAATTATCAAATCGTTGTATCTATGAAGGAATTTAGTTAAAGTTTTACGTAATTTATGGTAACGTAATCCCTGACTTAATATTTTACCAGTGATGCATTGATTACGTTCGTTAAAATTTATGACATCACTACACACACGGGCATATCGAACGAGTTGGGATATATGAACACCGTATGATGGAGCCAAAGGAACATCGCCGTCTAAAAAAGGAAAAATAACAATAGGGAATGAAAAGTCGTCTCTTTTGTCGTAAATTTTAGTATGGAGTTTCCCTTAAGAGGTTGAAATGTCCAAATCTAGAAAAGGACAACTTCTGCTGTTTATGTTAGATTTATTTAAAGTAAGTTCTTTTGGGTAAATTTCGGTAGTATATGTAGAGAACTCTGGACTATTTAACGAACAAATATCATCTAGATAACGGAAGGTATTGTTGAATGTATCAACCAAATGTAACAATGACTCGTCTTTACTGAGTTTGGTCATAAACTGAGATTCATAGCAATACAGGAATACATCTGCTATTAAAGGGGCGCAGTTAGTGCCCATAGGAATACCTACTACCTTTATCGCCGAAACGTACATATATGTTGTCCAGGAAAAAAATTAGACCTTCAATCCTATCTTCACATTTCCATTAAGTGTATCTAGTATACTTTCTTTTTTCGTTACAGAAAAAGGCTTTAAACGAGTTTCAGCAAATAAATTTGTAATGAGATTTTTCAAAAGACCATTTAATTAAATATGAAAACTTTTTCTTGATAAGATTGTGTGAAAGTGTAGTATAGAGAGTAGAAAAATCATAACTGTCAACAGAATTAAAAGGACCATCAAAAGCATGTATTTTATATAAAACCTCTAAAGAATTTTTAACACTCCAAAAATAATTAATACCATTTTTTTCATAAGCTTTATTACAAAAGTTAATAACAAGTTCTTTGATAGTAGTAAGGGAGGTAGTTAGAAGCACTTATAGATTGGTAGTAGAACACTTACTAAATGCGGAGATGAAAAGGAATTTAAATGTTTTTTTGTGCAATTTAGGTAACCAGTACATAGAAGAGACTTTCAAATGTTCGGAAGAGGCTTTAAGCTGGGTAGTGGCAGTGATATGCTTGTTTACAATTTGACTAGTATATTTTGTAATCTCCGTTCCTATTATTATATACTTTGAACCTTTTAGATTCCTATGAAATCGGTTTATCAGATTCCTTTCAAAATTGTTAAATTATCGGAGCCTTTAGTAGCGATGTGCTTTCCCCGTCAATAGTACTGACTTGCTTCTACATGTTCTACTTAAATGTTCTTACCCATACAAGAGCCAAGTAGAAATAAAATGTTCACCTCCGAATTCATACATGCCGAATATTAACATAATATTCATACTACAATTTTCTGGTGAACGGGGCAGTTTTGTTTTCCTGTTGTTATTTGCTTTCAATGTCAGTTTTTCTTAAACAGCTTTTTTGAAAGTGTGCATTCCTCCGTATGTTTGATATGTCCGTGTTATTAGTCACGCTTTGGATTTCAATAAACATACGAAGGCCAAATTGTCCCTGATTCAAATATTCCAAACTGCTTGTGAATTATAAAATCAAATGATTAATTGATGTACTGTAATAAAATATAGAAATTTCCGGAACAATTTTATTGTGTTACGTCACTTTATTGGCAAAACGTCATTTTGGACGACGATTATGGTTGATTTAGTATAACCTTCCTAGTATTGACCCTTTTAGAAATTACTCTTATCAACAAGGCATCCAATATCTTCACATTTTGACAACTTTTCTTCAGAAGCTTTAACAGGTTGATTTTATATTGATCAATAATGGTGTCATACATTTCGTTTTTTTTTTCTGATAATTTACTTTGCCAACTAAATATGAAAGTGTGTCTTCTTCTTTATTACAAAACAGAGATGAATTGTATAAGAATGATTCGATCGGTTGAAATTGATTAAAAGTGGCAAGTCGCATCAACTTCTTTATGATCGAATTATTTCATTAACGTATCAACATTTACAAAATTGTTTCATCTCTTTCTCCTTGGCTTGATAGTTTTTTAAAAAATTGATAATTAATACTAAAAATCAAAATTTAGTATGGACTTTTTCGTTGCGTTTAATGATCCACACACTAGAAGTTCTTATCTGAACTACATGTCACGTGTCATTAACGTGTATTAAGTATAGCGGTCGAGGTTCTAAGATACTTAAAATCAGAAAACTAAGTGTAAGGCTATAAAGGGTAGAAAGTCAACCTTTTCAAAATAGATCCATTTTTCTTTTTTTCTTTTCTTTTTTTCTTTTTTTACTTGTATTACGTTTATCATCTGAGTGCTGATATAAGTTAGCTGAATGACCTATTACCATATATCTTGATACAGTGCATGTACAGAAGTACAAAACACTGCATTAAAAGTATGTCACTCCCACTTACGTGAAATGCTTATTTCAGATGTCAACTATGTCATGAAATAAATTTTATAAATTTGTGTAAGAATACACACAGGAGAGTGTGACATTATTCTTCAAATTGTATCTGTTTTCAATACATTCTAGACATTTCAAATAGATTTACCTTAAATTTGTATTCGATGTTTTTCATCATATAAGTGTCAATCAGCAATGTTTTACGACGAAGATATATATGTAGAAAAGCCTTTGAAATGTAGAATTTTCTGATCAATGCAATTCCATGCATTAATTCATTTTCAGTTGAGTGTTCAATTTATAAATTGACAAATGCGTAAGTATTTTGTCTACCAGTCTAGTGTTTATTGAGCCAACATATGGTTGAACTGACATTGTAATCATTAGTACCCTATTGTTAATGGGATGCGTGGGGATGCAACAATACCGTATCAATGTTCGAATCTCATTATAAATCCAGGCCTACATGTTTATTTTATTATTGCTGTTGTTTTGTTGTGATTGATGAAATTTAATTAAGATGGAGGTTCCAGATACTTAACAAATTCTGAATTTCGTCAATCGTGTCATCAATGTGTAAATATAATTGATAAATAGATAAGATGATATGATATGACTTAGCAGAAAGTTCAAAACAGTAGTGCTGTCATTATAACGCCAAATTCATATATTTAAGGGAAATTGACCATTTCCACTTTGTATTGTGTGGGGCCAGATATGAGTTGCAGCCTTAAACAAAACAAAACAAAAACATAGTTTACCTGTATCAATATCATTTTACAAAACATCCACAAGCTTAACCATTTCGTTTTGGGAGGCTTTGGCTTTCATCTTAATTACAAGGTATAATGACTGCTTTGATATCTATATCTATATCATTAACGGAAAGCTTAATACTAAAATATATGATAAAAGAGATGATTTTTCATTTCCTATCGTTAATTATCCATTTTTAGATGGTGACGTTCCCTTGTCACCATCTTACGGTGTTTATATATCTCAACTTGTACGATTCGCTCGTGTATTTAATAATGTTTTAGATTTTAACGAGAGAAATTTATGTATTACTGAAAAATTATTACACCAGGGTTTTCGATATCACAAACTAGTCAAAACATTTACTAAATTTTATCATCGGTATAAGGACATCATTCGTAAATATAGCTCAACATGCAGACTGCTTATACGTTCAGGTATTTCACATCCATTTTTTTTATGGAAATATTTTTTACAAAGCACAAAAATGTCAGTATTCACCTCTGAAGCTAACAAAACCTTTAAATAGACTTATTAAGAAGGGATATAGTTACGATACTGTTGTCAGGTCATTAAAGATTGCATATTTTGGCGTTAATATTGATTCACTTATAGGGTCTTTGCATCGGCACTAAACACATTTATTTAAAAACCAGTTGTTGGCATGACACGGGTTATGTTCTTCTCATATATGTTATGATGGTATGATACTAAACCATTAACAGGAGGGATTGTGCCTGATATTCATATGATGAAGACATAATCTTTCAATCAGTTTAATTGAAGTCTGGAGCTGGCATGTCAGTTAACTGCTAGTAGTCTGTTGTTATTTATGTATTATTGTCATTTTGTTTATTTTCTTTGGTTACATCTTCTGACATCAGACTCGGACTTCTCTTGAACTGAATTTTAATGTGCGTATTGTTATGCGTTTACTTTTCTACATTGGCTAGAGGTATAGGGGGAGGGTTGAGATCTCATAAACATGTTTAACCCCGCCGCATTTTTTGCGCCTGTCCCAAGTCAGGAGCCTCTAGCCTTTGTTAGTCTTGTATTATTTTTAATTTTAGTTTTTTGTGTACAATTTGGAGTTTAGTATGGCGTTCATTATCACTGAACTAGTATATATATTTGTTTAGGGGCCAGCTGAAGGACGCCTCCGGGTGCGGGAATTTCTCGCTGCATTGAAGACCTGTTGGTGACCTTCTGCTGTTGTCTGTTCATTGGTCGGGTTGTTGTCTCTTTGACACATTCCCCATTTCCATTCTCAATTTTATTTGGTAGGTTCACTGCTAACAAATAGCATTGTGAAGTCGTAAACAAAAAAGTGCCTTCTGATCATACATTTTTAAAGTAATAATACATTATTGTCTTTAAAAGTTTGTGTTTAAGCGTTTCCGGTGGAATCAATTTCTGAAAAGCGCTTCGGGTGTAACATATTTCTTAAGATTTTCGGGTTAATTCTGTAAATGGTAAACTAAGGGTCATCCAAAGATATCATATGTCTTAGGTCCTTTTTGGTCGTGAAGCTTTTCAACTGTTTCGGTTCTTATACATCATTGGCTTCCAAATATTCGGCTTTGACCGTTCCTGGTGGAGGTTAACCAATAAAACAGCCTCGGACGCAAGTGATTTGATAAAAGTGTTGTTTTCATTTTTTAACTTAGTAGACAATTCTTTTAAAACTAGAAAAATAATTCTATAATTTGTAACATTATCCGGCGAAAAAAATGTGAACTACGAAGAAACTGACTACTGAAGTAATGAACAAATTGGAAGACATTAGTCGAACAATGCAACTTAAATGTGAATCAAGGTCATGGAAAGAACTTAAAGGTAATATACATATAATATCCATATACTTGAAAATCTTATATTAAAATATCTTGTAGAAAGTAAACCAATAAGTTAAAAAACATTCAATAATCTTTAAAAATTTTGTTAGAATGTCTACGTTTATTTCATTTCAAGTTACCCGGAATCTGCTTTTATGTTTGCAATCAATCCCTATTTTGACCGTTGGTTAATAATATTATTTTGAAATAATGCTATATTATGTCAATTCATTTTCATCAGCGCCTGTGTCAAAGTCTTCGTGCTTCTGATCTCTTAAAAGTGTTTGATATTACAAACAGATATAAGTAAAAGAAACTCTGCAATGTTTAGGTTCAAATAGTAGACAATTTCATAAATCATTGTATATTGGCGGAAATCTATGCATTATTGCATTAGTTGTGTACATGTAATATATATAATCGTTTATAAACAGAAGGCAATATTTTTCAAAATATAGAAAAAGCTTCATTTACTTTTTCTGGGTTTTATAACAGACCAATATGCGACAAGAATTAAATCAATTTAATAAAGAAAATTACATGCAAAACAATTTGTTGTATGCATTGAAATTAGTAGCGCTAGTTTAATGCTTTAATCTGTAAAAAAAAACATCGTCAGTAGATAATTTTTAGTCCTCATTGTTCATATTACTCAATGACTCGTACATTATAAAGCTCATAGTTCTACTTCCATTTCTTATATGAACGGTCCTGTGCTTATATGTACCATTTTGGATTTATGCTTTCATCATGCGCACTGAAAAATGTATCGTAGACATGCAATATTAACTCTCAATTCGGGCTTCTGTTTTCAGTTCCCGGGTTTTCCATCGACAATGTAGCTAATATATCAATAAAGGCAACAATATAATCATACATGTTTTACTTTGAATTTTATTTATCCAATTACATAAACTCAAAGTTGCAACTAAGAAAAACGTCCTCAGAGGTTTGTATTGAATTTTCCTTTATTGTTTTCGCCTCTTCTTACTTGACTCGGATATCAACTGATTCTCGAGATACATTTCTCATGAACGCTTAAATCAGATACATACGCTGTATTTGGCAAAACGTTTAGGAATTTTTGTTCCTCAATGCTCTTCAACTTCGTACTTAATTTTTTTATTCGAGCGTCACTGATGAGTCTTTTTAGACGGAAAGCGCGTCTGGCGCAAATACAAAATTTCAATCATGTTATATATGATGAGTTTATTTATATGAACTGATTTATTTACAGGTAATGGATTCCAGGTCAAAGTTACTGCAAACGAGTCAAAGACCAACATCGATTCGTCAGTTTTGTATTTTATTAAAGGTATGTATCTACTAATAAGGAATGTAAATGTGGATTTCTCAGTTTGTTTCCCTTTACCTGTTTCATAGGTCGTCTATTGCGCAATCATGTAACTATAACTTCCATGTATTTTTCGTTGTAACTTTCAAAGTATTTACCTAGACATATGTGCATTATCATCAAACTAATTATACTTGACACATTGTAATTGTCCGAAGCGCTTTTCTGTATTAAGCTTAATTCATTCGATAAAGATGACACTGAAGTTCTATCCATAGAAAAAATACAATGTCCATTGTTATCTGGTGAATGCAGTAAAAGTTTAGCTACCAACGGCTTTTGTGAAGGGTTATGTATAATACATAAAACAGCATTCTTTATTACTAAAAACATTTGAAAAGAGTTTTGCCAATGATACTTAAAGGCAATGATATCATCATTTGTTCTATTCGGTTATTGTACATGTTGTAGATATACCTCGCCGAATCAACATGTCATATTTACACATGAAGGAAAAGTTTTATGAATGTTTCAAAAACATAAGTAGCTCAGGTTAGTATAGGTATCCTAACATTTTACTATTCTCACACAGTATAAATGTAGCTTGTAATCAAGTAAGTGTACTCGGATCATACATGTAACACTTTAGTTATGTAAGAAAAATCACAATGTGCTCTTTATCGTTCTAGTAATACTTTCATATAATTATGTCTATGATAAATATGATAAATATGTTCCGTATTACATTAATACGTTACAGGGTTCTTATAAAAAAATCGAAATATAATCGAAAGTAGCACGATGTACGTATGTATAACTATACTGCTTTAAAATATTGTTAACAGCAATTTACCGATGATCAAACCTTTCAAAATCGATTTAAAAGACAGATCAAGGTAACAAACAAAGATAAAGGAATCTCCAGAAGGAGCAAGATTGGGTGCGTCGTCATTTTAAGAGTCTCAGACATCGATCATACTGTGCAGTAGTCCAATATTATTTATTATACATTGACTTTCTTTTAAGGACAGCAACTTAGAAAGACTGTTAGTTATCGCCTTATGCATGTTATATATAAAGATACATTCAAATTGCTATATATCATGACAATGTTACTGCTTCATAAACAAGCATGTAAGTTTGAAATATATTTTATTGTATCAATCCCTGAAACTATAAGTATCGTATGTACTATAAAGTACTTTTGAATATGCAATATATTTGTAGATTATGAGGACTGCCATCAAAGTATCATCGATGTGGAAGAAGGCATTCTGGCAGGTCTATATAACACCAATGATAGTCTTACTATATTTTAGTATACAACACAAAAGGAGTAGGTCCGGTGAGGACCGATTTTGGCCTCAAAATTCAAGTACATTTGATGAAAGATTTTGGACACTTTTTAAACACTTAAGTGTCTACTTCAGTCGATTCAATCAGTTTATGTGAAAGATTTGAACTAATTTAGTCATTAAAGACGCTCAAATTCAAGCTTAAATATGAACAATCTATCAAATATGCCATAATATGTCACTTTTCAGATGGTTTTTGTCAAAAATTAAAGTGGCCGCATCGGTGTTCATTCTCAACCTTTATATATGTTATGTATTATCATCAAATACAATATACATTTAAATATTAAGAATGAACACAAATGCGGCCACTTCCATTTCAGACGTAAACCGTCTAAAAATTAACCACAATGCTAAAATTACGAAGATTTCAGTAATTTAGCATGACTTAATGATGCTAGTACCCGATACATGTGCATTGTATTGTCAACAACAGCCCATATTTATGTAACAGAAGTATTCTTCTTTCCTATAAATAGCTAAAAATGTACATTTTAACAATTTTGTAAAACTGCTATATTGTGGGGCCAAAAAGGGGTCTTACTTGGCCTACTCTTTTATACGAATACTTCGAGACTTCACAGATATAACACTCCGATAAAAATGTGCTACGGTTACGAGTTCCATGAAGATATGTAGTTTTGAAACTACATTCGTAATTGCAATATTTGGTTGGCTGAAGTAATCCACCATCGGCTCCAATACATAAAAAGACACTGTTGTCAGAAACCGTATTTTAAAACAAAAGCTTCTTTCCAATGAAAGTTAAATCAATGAAAGTATATTTTTGTAGGTGTCTAAATTAAAAGTTATCTCAAAATGGTAAATGGTTAGACGACACAAAAATATATAAATTCAAATAGATCTTAAATTGGTAATCTATGCAAATTTCTTTGACACATTCCCCATATCCATTCTCAATTTTAAATGGCAAAAGAATGTTTTATGTCACTAAATATTATGTAAAATTTGTTGAAAATAACCTGTGTGTAATGTAACAACCGTGAGATAAGCATTTGTACATTACGCATGACGTTAAACGTTTGTTCTTAATATATGAAGGCTTAGTTTTGTGTTTTTAATGTTTTGATTGTAGATGATGATACGTCAACACATGAAAATGAAGGAGTTGAAGAAGATTCTTCAGATTCAGGTTCAGCTTTTAACTTTTAATTAAAATCTTGAAAATCGCCATTAAAAACAGACGTCTACTCTCACTATACATTTTTAGCTCACCTGGCCCACAGGTCCAAGTCAGCTTTTCTCATCACTGTGCGTCCGTCGTCGTCGTCTGTCGTCGTCCGTTAATTTTTACAACAATCTTCTCCTCTAAAACTACTATGCCAAAGTTAACTAAACTTGACCACAACCATCATTTGGGTTAATAGTTTAAAAAATGTGTCCGACGACCCGGCCAGCCAACAAAATTGGTCGCCTTGGCTAAAAATAGAATATACGGGTAAAATGTAGATTTTGGAATATATCTCTGAAAAAAAAGCATTAAGAGGAAATCTGACAGAATAGAATTCATCAGGTCAATGTCTATCTGCCCTGAAATTTTCAGACAAATCAGAGAGCCCGTTGTTGGGTTGCTGCCCCTGAATCGGTAATTTTAAGGAAATTTTGCAGTTTTTGGAAATAATCTTGAATATTATTATAGATAGAGATAAACTGTAAACAGCAATAATGTTCAGCAATTAAGATCTACAAATAAGTTAACACTATCAAAATTGTCAATTGACCCCTTAAGGAGTTATTGCCCTTTATAGCCACATTTTAACAATTTTACGTAAATTTTTGTGATCTTTTACAAAAATTTTCTCCTCTGACACTATTGGGCCAAAAAGAATCAAACTTGGTTACAATCATCATTAGGTATAAGTTTAAAAGTTTAAGTATAAAAAGAGGAAATCTGAAAAGGGTAAAATTGTTCAGAATGTTGAGCTCCACCAGTTACCCATATACGTCAAAACTGTCAGACGATTTCCTGTAGGAGTTATTGCCCTTAAATGGCAAATTTTACCACTTTTTTTCTAATTTTTGCCTATTATCCTGAAAACTATAAAAGATAGAGAGAAACTTTAAATTGCAAAAATGATCAGAAGGACAAGTTCTACAAATAAGTCTTACGGTTGAAATCATCAGTTTACTCCTTATTAGAGTTATTGCCCTTTAAAACCGATTTGTACATTTTTTGCGTTTTATGATTTTTACCTTTTTATTTGCGTTTTGCCTTATATGATAAAAATTAATAATAGATAGATAGAAACTTAAATAATCAAAAATGATAAGCAAGACAAGACCTGTTAACAAGTTAGATTTTGCTGATATAATTAGTAGACTGTTACTCTTTCTAGGAGTTTTTTTACGCTCTTTGGATCAACAGTTAAATAATATCATGCAGATAGATAGAAACTAAAAAGACTTCAATGATCAGCAATGTAGGTTACAAAAAAAACAAAACAAAAAAAACAGAGATTTTGTCATTAATTCTATTCTTGTCTACAATGTTGGAGAGTGTCCTTTGTTGAATATGCATAAAGACCAAGGTGTGCGACACAGGCTCTTGAGAGCCTCTAGTTATTTACTCTCAGTTAATTCAGTTAATGATACACTCAGTTTTTTATAATTTGTACTACTACACTTTATGTTCCTTTATATGTATATTTCGACTAATGAATCTTACAATAAAGCGCTAAGTAAGCGTAAATGTGTTTTTTTTCCTCAGAAGAATCATCCGACACTCAAATCAAAATTATTTTGAAAAGTTTAAAAAAAACTCAAGGAATGTCTGTTATTACTGAGGTCAACATCGGTGTTGTCTTCTTGATCTCTTTTTTTCCATTGTAGATGATGTAGATAATGATCTGTTACGCTGTGGCAATTGTGGTGAAGAGTTCAAATCGTTGAAACGATTTAAACACCATAAAAAGTCTCACAGGGTGAGTTTCTGTTTTAACTTAAATTTCGTATATGCCTTGCAAACTTATTTGTATAAAAGTCAAGAATGTTAGGCTTAAAATAAAGGCAACAGTAGTATACCGCTGTTCGAAACTCATAAATCGATAGAGATAAAAACAAATCCGGGTTACAAACTAAAACTGAGAGAAACGCATCAAATATAAGAGAAGAACAACGACACAACAAAAACACAACATAAAAAATGTAACACACACAGAAACGAACTAAAATATAACAATGGCCATTTTCCTGACTTGGTACAGGACATTTTAAGAAAACAATGGTGGTTTTGTGGCATGCCAAACCTCCCGTTTTAATGGCAACGTCAAACACAACACCAAAACGACAACATCACATGACAGGACCACAATACAAATAAATGGGAGAACATATAGGACAAAGAAACACACGAATAATAGCTAACAAAAGGTACTAGGCTTAAAATTCAATACGCCAGACGTGCGTCTCGTCCACACAAGACCATCCAGTGACGCTCAGATGAAAAAAAGCTTAAAAGCTAAAACAAGTACAAAGCCAAAGAGCACCGAGGACCAAAACTTCCAAAAAGTTGCGCCAGGGTTTTCTGCCAGGGACAAGAATATCCTTATTATTTAGAATAATTTATAATTTTGCAAACAGTAAATTTTATAAAATGACTATATAATAGATATACATGATTAAACCGAAGTGAGGACTAACTACAGAATAAAAACGGATACATTACACAAAACAACTTAATCCAACATATAAAAATACACAGCCGAGTTAGCCAAAGCATCAACGCACAAAATGACGTCACATTTGAAATTCTAAAAAAACACACAAAGTGACGTCACATTTGAATTTGTAAAAATATTTCCCAAAAAATAAGATAGGATTAGGATTGATTCAAGATAAGATTTGTAATACTGACATTACATTTATTAATAACAATGAAAATTACAATACTTATTAATATCAAATTGTGGTAGTAATTAGATAATTATTTGTATTATCTAGCTATGTCGGTGTTTCTTCTGAATCAAACTGTAAACCAAATATATCGTACAAATTTCGTTGAACCAAACTAAAATCTAATAAATGAAGGGGGTGATTAATTATCTTTACCATAACACACGAATATAACAGAAAAGACGTTAAGACATTTGACAAAATCCGACGAGAATAACAAATATAACATAAAAATTAAATACATGAATTTGGGATAGAAAGGTACCGTGACACGTCTTATAGCAATGCGGTTTCACACTCAGCAAAACAGTCACAATCGGGAATAAGTCACGTTCGGTAATTAAAAGATCAGACGACGTAATGACAAACCACAATCTAACACGTGGTAAAAATGTCCTTAGTTAGTTTGGACAAAGACACATCGTATGGACTAACCAATTCGTGATGGTGTCCGTAAAATTTACGGAGTGTCATTTTTAATCTGTCCTCCTCATAACTTTGTTGGAGCAGTTTCTGTGTAAGGAGCACACTCCTGTATATGAAGTCCGTATAGTGTGAACAAGCACGAGTATAACGTATCAATTGAGATATGTAAACATCATACGAAGGGGCAGAGGGTATGTTACTGCTGAGAAATGGGAAATTGATAATTGGGAAGTTGAAATCGTCCCGTTTATCATAGATTTTCGTGTGAAGTCGTCCATCTGTGTCAATATTGATGAAAAGATCAAGGTATGAAGCAGTCCTTCTAGTATCAGTAGTATCCTTAATTTCAAGTTCACGGGGATATATGATATGTAAGTATTGGCTGATATATGGGTTATTACAAAACAAATATAATATAGAACAGCCATCTTATAAATTTCATGCACCCTTCTTAAAAAGACTTGAATTCACTTACAATGCTTACATTTATTTCAAGTCGGCACATTTCTTTCCGGTTGTTTCCGATACACTATTGGGGTGATATAAAAAAACATACTTGGTCTATGCAAACATTTTTTGTTTGTTTTCGACATCAATATTCATATTCAAAATTAAGAAAGTGTATTAATGGAGAACGAACTTAACAGTATTTCTAAACTAAATAGGTAGGATGCATATACTCTTGTAAATACTAATAACCTCATCTTTTTAACTAAATACTGTACGACCTCCCTTGTCTTTAAATACGTGTCACAGCATTTGTCTGTATTCCCTTTCTAACACTTATCTTACAAGTGCAAACACTTACAACAAATCGTGAATTTATTGTATCAGTTTTATCTTGTGCTGTACGACTCAATGCTGAAATGAGTACAAAGTAGACACTTTGTTTTGGAGGGTTTTGATTATGAAATCTAAGAGTATTAATTGATGTGATCTTAATGGTTCAAAGGTATGCTGTATACCTCTTCTATTTTCATATGAGTCGGAGTTCCTTCAGACACTTGTCAAAAACAAAAGGATCGAAGAAGTCAGATTATCTAATTTCACATTCAGATATGTTGATGATGTTCTTAGATGCTACTAAGACTTTATAAAATATCACCAGTATCTGAACAGCAAGTTTATGAACCAGGTATATGTCAAAGAATGTCTTGACCTTTTTCTCAAAAAGTTCATCGGAAGATACTGAAACGTTGTTGATAAATATTCCGTATCAGCTTCACAAATAAAACAATTATGGTCTTGAAGTATAGATTTTAGGTACTGACGTTGTTTATAATCTTAATGACGTAGTATAGTGTTTTTATTTATTTTATCGTTTCGTTTAGGCTGGCAGACAACAGACACGATGGTTTTAATGCAAAATTCACAATAACAAAAACTATTACAACATCAAAACAATGCATAAGAATATTCAAAACATATTCTATTAATTTTTTTCTATGTCAAAAAGTATATTTTTAGACTATTTAAGCTAAAACTACTCTAGGACTTACACAATTATCTTTTTCTGTTGCGGTGTATATTTTAGATAAGAGACCGGGATATGAGACGCCAAAAAGGTAAGTGCTTTAACAAAGAGTTTAACATGTATTGAATATTTGCTTATGTTACTTTAATGAGATTTCAATAGGAAATGCTAATTTAAAAATGATAGCATTCCACAGATTTATTCTAACGTATACATGGTATAGATATCCCAAAATCAGTAATGCGTACCTTTTAGTAAGTATTCGATGATATCGATTAATTGTATTCATTGAATCGACAAAAACATGTGTTTTTATTCATCAATTGTTAAAATTTTATGATCTATGACTATCGATAGTATTACAAATAGCATCTGGATAACTTCAAATTTTCTTTATCATATATAAAAAGATGTTCTGAGAAAGAAAGCTAAAAACTTTGATTTATTACGATAAGAGGAACATTAAATATTTGTTTTAATTACAACACACTAGAGTAATGACCTAATTAAACTACATTAGTCGATAATGATCATTTGTTTTAAATGATCTTCCATCTTCTTTCAAAAAATACAAATGTGTTTAAATTTTCAGTTCTATTACCGCCTATTAAATGTCATGAATGCTATCAAATCTCAGTAAATAAATGTATTTTATATTGAATCAATCTGAAACAGCTCTAAATACATCTGCAATGATTGTCCTATCAACATATAGTATTTCTTTTATTTTAAGCCGTAAATACCACTATAACCATAAAGGGAATGCCAAAAAACGTGGAAGAGGATATTGTTAGATTTGGTGATAAAATGCCATCATCTAGAACAAGAGATAGATCAACAGCAGAAATACAAATTATTGACGAGACTCGGGGTAGTTTGGTCATTTGGACAAAAATTTCTGTTGCTGTTTTTAAATCAAAGGACATATTTTTTAGAGCTCTAAAAGAATTTTTAGATAAAACGTTTTCCTACATTCCTTTTGAAAATGACAACGATATTGAAATGACAGTTTCTATTCAAATAGAAGAAGGACAGGATGGTAAGTCATTTCTTCGTATCAACATACATTATATCTTACCATGAATTCGATAAGTTTTGCGATGTCACATGCTAAATGTGTATATTTAATACACGGTGTGTACTAGATTTTATCGTTATTAACATTGACCTCTGTTTCATATTAAAGTTATTGATAAACATTAGGGTTTTTGTCATGCACAAGATATTTCTTATGATATCCATATTATAAATTCTACCTGTGACCTTTTCTGTAAAAGTAAAAGACGAACTTAAGTTTGATGTTTCTTCATTTAAATATGTATTTAAATTTTAAATAGAATTTTGTAACTATACATTTTAACATTGCTGTTTCAACATATTATGCAAATGATAGTTACATATGAAAAATTCAGTCTTGATACATTGCTTCTAATTTCCTAGTGTATGTTTTATGATGTATATCATCTTTTGTGTTGAACAATAGTTGAATTTATACTTTTTTACAACCTCAAAAACGTTTCTTTCTATATAGTGATTTGTTGGTCCCTGTGTGATTTTTTTTCAATTTAATTGCAAACTTCCTGTCCATATACATCAATTTAAAATGGTATTCTCATTTACAGAGGACGATATGGGTGACTTTTTCCGATGTGGAACATGTTCAAAAGAATTCTTTGCCTTAGCAGCATTTGAGTACCATAAGAAGAAAGTATGCGGACGAGAAGCTTCTGGAAGACAACTAGAATTTTCTGCCGCAGGTAAATTGTAACGAAATAGCTTGTACTTTACATTGAAAATACGTTTTGAATGTTTATGCAACAGTATTAGAAATAATTAGAACATGCCACTGATGTATAATTATCTAATTTTCGTTTCCCCTATCATTCAAAGAAATGTTATTTACTTTGATTATAATTGCTATGTGAATTTTATAGAAATGGTAGCTAATAACATTAACGTAACCAATTCTCTTGCGTCAGAAGCACATTTTAACAATTAATGTCTTTTCGGTGATGTAAGATTCCAAAACCTAATACAAATATTCAAGTGCTGTAAATGTAACAACTAAGTTCAATTCATTTTCGCTTTTGAATAATTGCAAGTTACGATATAATTAATATGACTTTATTCTTGTTGGATGTTTTACTATAGGTTTAAATGTAGTTAATGAAAATGGCGGAAACAAGGGTCTAGAGCGAAAATCAATTTCATGTAAAACAAAGGACGAGCAAAATCACCATAGACCAAAGGGTTTTACAGATAATAAGAGGAGCAACGCAGCAAGCAGTTCAGAGACGGATTATGGTTTGCATAAAGTTCCATCATCCAAAGAACTATTAGGAAACATGAGGCATGACACAGGTTTCCGGGAAGTAAACCAAACAGTTGCTGATCTTTGGTTATGTGATGACAAAGGAGAACATACAGAAGGGGAAGCGATTCTAAAATCAGATAAAATTGAGGTTGACAATACCGTAATTAGTTTCAGGGAACAGTCATACCTGCAACACGTAGCTGAAAATAGAGATGATGCTACTGGTGTACAATTGGAAACCAGACTATTGATATCGCCGGAATCGACTGCAACCAAAAATAGAAACCCGATAGAGTTAGATAAAAAAGCAAACAAAAACGATAGCAGAGCTATACATACACAACATGCTAATGACGACATCAATGTCGACATTGATGGCAGCGACTTACCAGATGTCAACGTGACAGATGTGTTACAATTCTTGATCAGAACTTTCAGTGGTGGATGTACATTTGACGAGTTTATGAGAAAGTGTAACCTCTTTCCTATGGACGCGAATATTTGTGGTTGGTTTGGAAACCATGAAAATAGTTTCAACATTTTTTGGGATGAAGAGGATATCGTATTCATTCATCCATACTTCCCAAAAATACAAATTTGTAATCAATGGAATAGCACACAATCCGCAACGCGGTGTGGCAATTCTGGCTGTCAATGTTTCCATATCTGTCGTCGCTTTGTCAGTAGCACATGTGCAGATAAAAATTGTCAATGGTCACACTCTTTCAGCGGCTCACACAATATTCAGTTGAAGGATAAACTCGGTATTTCTGATTACAGCGAAAATGATATCAAATTAATATTAAATTGTGCCTCCCCTTCAGTGTGTTTTGATTATATGTACACCAGTGGCTGCAAGGTAGTAGACTCAGAGACGAAATGTCCACAACTACACCTATGCGCACACAAATTACGTGGACATTGCCCAAACCCGTGTAAATTCAATAAATACCACTCTACGGAGGATTTACATAATAAATGGGTTTTGAAATCATGTCACATGAGTGAGTGGCCAGAAGAACTAGTATTTCAAACTATACACGTTCCTTCAGGAGATCCCATAGATGATGACGAACACTCAAATAGCTCTGATTGTAGCCAAGACGAACCTGATACTTATGATGTAGATGCCAACATATGTGAAAGTAATACAGATACTGGTTTCAAATACGGAATTCAGCATGACTCATTTAACATCGGACCAGATTTTAGCCATGACGAAGGTGATATTGATGATGCAGATGATTATACCTGTGACAGTAGTTTTCATCGTAAAGTATATTCTGGTGAAACTGCATCAAGGCAACCGAGGGATTCTGACCTTCTTCAAGGTGAAACTGATACTGATAATGCAAGTGTATCTAGTGTTGATCGTCTTTTTGGTTTAAAAGAACGCCAATCTCTTGTTTCATTACGGGATGATACTCCCTTGAGCCAAGACGAACTTGCTATTGAAGAGAACTTTAATAATAGTAACAATGACGAACTTAGTAGTGAACAACTTGCGATTTCTCTATCAATGGACGATAATTCATATGAAAGTATGATTGGCTTGGACGCTGAAACCAGGACTATTGGTGATGAAAAGGAGACAAAGAAATTGCATCATCCATTTAACATGACTGAAATGTCCAAAAACATCCTTCAATCTACCATTAGTGATTTCTTAGATCTTTCAGAAACCGAAACTAAATCTCACCCAAGCAACTCTGCTCATGACAAAGAATGTCCTCCAACGCCATTAAAACAGGAACAACACAATCTTAGTCTACCAACAAACGTTTCAGACTCATTGGTTAAACCGACCCCTAAGTCACAGTATGTAGATCCTTCTAAACCCTATTATCAAGAGAGGCGTTTGTACTTAGTAAAAGATCAATCTGACAAAACTTATATCTGTGAATTCGTCACAAAAGACAAATGCACGAGAAGATATTGCAGATATCATCATATTCCGAGTGGAATGCCTTACCTTTGGCAAATCAATATGTATGGAAGGTGGTTGTCGTTTGCTGTGGCAGAGAATGAGACAATAGAAAAGGCATTCTGTGATTTACAGGACGTTTTTGCAACTACAGTAAGCATGTTATTTTACCTAGGTTATGTGCAAATACTTAACTGCAATGCTGCGATAATTATCAAAACAATGGATCTATTTTTTTGTTTTTATTGTCAAGTATCAAAATATGCTCAGAAAAATAATAAATAAAACTTTACAGAGTAAGAAGTAAATACACTTTTGTTCAATTTTTAACTAAAACATTTAATACTTATTCAAATATTCACATATAAGCACATATTTGTAACACTACATCATTTAAACGTGTATTCCTCGTAAAATCATATTAAGGGAGTTCGCTTCTCAGTTTCAAAATAATAAGCTTTTCAAAACGCTAGTTTATATTGATAGGGGATAAATAAAGGAATCAAAAGAGCAAAGAAAATATAAAGGTAATGTGCTTTTTTTCGAGATATAAGCCATTGAAATTTTGGCGGGAAAATGTTCTCTCTTGACCTTTCATAGCTTTATCATTTACAAATTTAAGATCTCAAAAACTATTAAAAAATAAGTAAAGACTTTTACAGATGGCTTATCATTATACATGTTAAAGATTTATAAAAAGAAAAATGGGGGTCAATGGGCAAATTTTTTTAAGGTATTCAAATGGATAAAACCAGAGGATTCCGAAAATGACAAAAATTCCAAAACATGACAAGCGAACATCCTTAAATAGAAGCGTACATCTTTTTCAGGTGAGATACTACCGTAACAAATACAGTTGTCACATCCGGTTTAACCAAATGTATGCTATCATCTATGAAGTTGAGGGTCAGGCAGCAGATAATGAAGAACAGTGTAAGATACGACGTTTAAGTACAGCATCATTTGTTGAAAGGGACCCGGATGTTAGCTCCTTTCTTACAAATTGGAGGTGGTACTGGAAAAATGATGAAGGTCAATGGAATAATTACGAAAGGGTAAGAATTTGTCTTAATCAAATGTTCCGAAAACAGATTTTTACTTTGATTTACATAATTGATATTTGCGCGATGGATTATATATCACGTTGAAGGAAGATAATGGAGATGCAAAGGACCTAAAGACGGGTTGTTGTCACTATCATACCTTCCCAATTTCAATTCTCAATTTTACCAATAAATCAGACAAAACATAGCCAGGAATAAATAATACGAATGATTAAACAACATCAAAACATAAAATTGAAAACGAACGATTTAGCAACACGAAACCAACCAAATATCGTGGATGACATAAGTTACTCCAAGAGGGATATCTGCCATTGTTTTCCATTTTTTTTTTTATCTATTTTATTGAGATAACTCTCTATCAAACACGATACAAGCACGGAAGAATCAACAAACATATCATCAGCACTACATTAGGTCACACATTCACGAATTTGACACCGTATTAGCTACCGATACGAACCGGCATCATTCGTGGCAATCTGTATTGGTCCGTAGATTTCCGTATTGTAGCCGTAGTCATACGTAGTAGTGCTTGTATATCCGGGACAATTTTTGAGCATGCGTAAAATTTGACCACGGATCAAACAACCGTAGTATATTCTTACTAAACCGTATTTGAACGTACTGATCCGTTTTAGTCCTTACTAAAACCGTATTAATCCGTACTTATTCGTAGGCTCGAAGTATTTCTACGGTCTGTTCGGGAGAGCTGCGTACTAGTACGGTTGCACCACGTATTTGTCAAGGATACGCTACCATCGGTTACGACTTTGTCACGGATTGTCACGATTTCAATACGTTGCAATACAGATAGCTAGAGGTCACTAAGGGTTCTTAAAGTGGGTTTTTTACGGTTTTCTACGTTACAACACGACACACTACGGAATATTACTGCCCACGACAAACTGGCATCAGACTTCTGTATAAAAACCCTACTTCTAGGGCCCCACGTTGTCTGTGTCTTGCCGTAGAGGTATACATAACATTATCCAACATAACAATCAACAACTGATGCTTGCAATTAATAAACTGGAAATGAATATTGAAAAGGCACAAAATGCCAGGGCAGTGGTCGATCTACTTGATGACAGACGTATAGTTAACCGGCGGCAGAGGAGATGGTGGACTGGGGACAGGCTTCTCCGAACACTTAAACCTGGCCAATATTAAGCACTCATGACTGCACTTTGCGCGGAAAATCAAGCTGCATTTAAGAATTTTATAAGAAAAGACCCACATATGATTCAAGAACTGACAAATGCCGTTGGTCTAACGATAACGAAAAACACCACCTGATACAGACAGACCGATAAATGATTTAATGAAACAAAACAAAAAATCATCGATTCACTGCCATAACGAAACTATAAATCACAAGAAATGATTGACGGCTTAGAAAATATGGCGATTCATCCTATTCCGTATCCGACTGTTTTGCTCGTACTTATCCTTACTTATACCGTAGCAAACCTCTGTTTATCCGCAGTACATACGCCCCGACACGTGCTGTTGCGTATTAAACCGTGTCATTTCCGTATTAAAACGTGTCGTACCGTACGAATCCGTATCACTCATGTCGCCAAATGACCCCTTTCCCACTTCACCTGTGTTAGATACGTGTAGCCCGTAGTCACACCGTTATGCATCCGTATTGGATCCGTATCAGACTACGGAAACTTCATTTCCGGGATCATCCGCGAGATTTAATACGTAGTGGAACCGGCGAGGTGATCCGTGAATGTGTGACCTCACCATTATACCATTGTCTCAACAAGTTGTAAAAACAGAATCCATTTTTTGCTTCTGCTTTTGTTTATTGCAAACCACACAAAAGAAGTACAAAGAGTGGATACGATCGTCACAAGTTTTTTTGTAATCCTTCACTCGTAAACAAATGTTTGATAGGGAAACCCTGCTCCATCAAAAATGTGCACAGACATAAATCGTCATATGAAAAAAAAACAGCATTATTGTACAATCGATTGGTAAATTAAGTTTGTTCTTTTTTTTACTAGGATGCTTTCTTGTTTACTCTGGAAAAGAAGTATCTCACAGAACAGAAGACATATATATTCTTCAGAAAAAATTTTTCATCAAAGTTTAAAATAGACTTCCTGAAAATGATTCAAGTTAACCTTGATACAGACAAAGTTAGAGACATCATTCGACGCCCACTGTTCGTATCAAAATATGATGTGCAAAATATGAAGTTGTAAGTAGCGCAATGTGTTCATAGTCTCCTACATTTAAATAATTTACATGTGTGTTCAAAGAAATTAAAAAACCCAATCAGTGATTGCCTTTAGTGAATTTGATGTTAATAGTTCCAATGGCACGTGTACATTGAAGAAAAAAAAATCTAAATAATGTCCTTAAAATATACTAGTACATAAATACAGAATCTCTATAATAAAAATGAATGTCATAATTATGAAAAAAACCTTATCATTTCATGTGAGACTTATTTGAATAGCATTATATATCCTTTGTTAGGTCTAGAAATATAGCCACCTGGACTTTCCTCACAGTAACCCACTTTGGTAGTTCATGATGTACAAATAAACAAGCATGTACGTCGGAAAGGGGACTTCCAAGTCGACCCCTATATATCTTGGCTTGTTCTACTTTTTTTAATTGGATAATCACTGATGAGTCAATTGTAGACGAAATGCACATTTGTTTCCTCGTCCTGACCATGCATGAAATTTTTGCCACTGGGCGTCAAAAAAATACCAATTAATCAATTACACTCCCATTTAATATGTATCATTCAGTCTTTATAATAACGTATTGCATCCTAAAACGACTACATTTTAATTTTCAGTCCAGAAAATATTCCACTTCCTACTGTAATTAATGCACCAAAACCACCCCATTTCTACAGTTGGGACTATTCAAATGACTTTGAGTTCGTAGAACTTGACATGAAGGAGGAAGAATACAGTGAGGTGTTTAACTCATTGCAGGAGTCGATGAGTACTTCCCGGTTTGAGTTCAGCATAATATATAGAATTCAGAATAGGAAATTATGGAGTGAATTTGAGACGTAAGTTTAACTTGCAAGAAGATGATCACTTAAGAAAAAATATCAATCGGCAAACATCGCGACAAGTCTCGCCTGCATACATTTTACGTTTTTAATTTTTTTTTATATAATAAATAAAACTAAGACAGTCCAAAATAAAAAAGGAAAATCCAAGAATGTCCTTTTTAGAGGTAAAAATTTGCTGTTATCGTGAAAATGCCTAATTTTTCAAATTCGTATGCTAATATTCTGCTTTTGTTTGGTATTTTCTGTAGAAAATCGGTGTTGGAAGAAATTTCTTCTCTGGTAAATGGAATAAATTGACAAAAAAACACCATTAACATGACAATTTTTTTGAGTATATATGTTAAAATTACATTTCAAATTTTACACAACAGGTATATCACAATTAAATGAAGAAACAGCTATCTATGAATTAATAAATCGGAATGCAAAGTTTTCAAAACAAGTAGTTCACTACATTTTGTTCATAAAAAGATTCCGTCCTCCTTGGAAGAAATTTCTTCCTATAATCAAGAAAATGTTATTAACTTTCAAATAGGTACACAATTATTGATAATAAAAGCATCTTGTTCACTTCATGTTGTATCCTCTCTCAAATTGGAAGAAATTTCTTCCAAGTACTATAAATCAAGTTAAAATCTCTTCCAATAGATATAGATTCATAAATACTTGACTATATATTGAACGCAAATAGTTAAATTCGTTTCTATTCCTCCTTGGAAGACATTTCTTCCAACTACTTTTTAACAGTAAATCATTTTCTTTTAAACAAAAAGTTAAATTATCGCTTTCCACAGCAGGAGATTTGCTCAGGATAAAATAGGTGTAATTTCCTTTTCTCAGAACCTCTCTGGCTTCACCCATACCGGTGTCGTTATATTTTGTGTTGCCAATATAAAATGAGCTGTAGAAGGTTTCTAAAAAAATGATTTGGGGGTAAATGTAAAACTTAATTTATTTTAACCAAATCGTGTTGAAAAAGTGCAGGTGAGATGTTTAATTTTCTATTTGACATAATTGAGAGATAAGGATAAATAACAATTCTAAGGCTAAATGTTCTTTCAAAAGCAGAAATTTCTTCCCATAAACATCCTTGGTTAAATTAATTAAATAATTCATTTTAAGTTGCCCCAACCCCCCATAATTCCCTGTAGCAGTTTATAAATACTCCAGTGTATTGTCCAAGCGTCTAATTTTCCTGTAGCGGTCTATGAATTCTCCATGCAGTTTATTCCCCTAACACTCATAGTTCCCTGTTGCAACATAGGCGGGTCCAGTCATTTTTAACAGCAGGTTCCCAACCCTGGAGAAAACTGGGGGGGGGGGGGGGGGGGGGGGGGGGGGTCCAACCATATGTCCCTATTCAAATGCATTGATAGTCTAAAAAGGGGGTTTCATCCCCTGAAATCCCCCTTCCCCTGCTGGGATCCGCCACTGTGCAGTATGTGAACCTCCAGTATATTGTCCAACCCTCCTTGTTTCCTGTTGCAGTATATGAACTTTAAGTCTATTGTCCCACACTCCTAGATTCCTGTTGCAGTATATGAACTTTAAGTCTATTGTCCCACACTCCTAGATTCCTGTTGCAGGTTATGAATCATCCAGTTAATTGCCCAAACGGCTTATTTCCTGTAGAAGTCTATGAATCCTCCATTGCTGTTCAATTCACCAACCCTCCTAGTTCCCTGTTGCAGTATATGAACTTTAAGTCTATTGTCCCACACTCCTAGATTCCTATTGCAGGTTATGAATCCTCCAGTTAATTGCCCAAACGGCTTATTTCCTGTAGAAGTCTATGAATCCTCCATTGCTGTTCATTGCCCCAACCATCCTAGTTCCCTGTTGCAGTACATGACACTACTAAACGGCTCCAAATCCTAGCTATCGTCTTCCAATTATACTTGTCCTAATTTCTGAAGAAAACACATATAATCATTTTTTGTTTGTTATTGCACATAATAATAATTTTTATCCCGTTTTTCTCGGTCGATAGTTGTTTCATTGGCAATCATACCACATCTCCTTATTTGTTTTATATTAACTTAATATCCTCTTCGGCATTAAGCTGTAACTTGAAGGGGCAGGATCCTATGGATTATCATACAATATTTGTTATACAAGAAAACGGTATAGTTTTTCGAGCAGATATAAATATTTTAATCGTATTGTTGTCCGTAATGAAAACACGAATAACTTAATAAATAATAATTGTAGACAAAATTTGCATTGCAGGTTGACAAGTAAACAATTTATTTATTCGTTCCTTTCCCTTTTTCAAAATCATTTGATTGCTAAATAAGTTATCAGGCCAAAATATTGCAATAACACATATGCAAAGCATATCGTTAATATATATATATATATATATATAAAGTATGTGTTGATGTTTAGTATGGAAAAACGGCATTATTGACCCCTTGGAGGATCCTAATCGCCATAAAATTATTCTTTTCTTTAAATCAAAAATTGAACAACTTATTTCAATATTACTTAAATTATGTGTGTATACATACCTTTACATGTCTCGAAAAATCCTTTAAACATCGTATAATGCTATCTTCAGACTTTTCATCTATTACGCATTTTATTCCTTCAATTTTCCATACAACAATTTTCAAGTTGTTCCGAGCATGGAAGTAATATTACTTCCATGTTCCGAGTTATCAAATAAAGTAAAAGACAAAATTAATTATTCATAACACCAAATCCGGTGGCCATCCCGCAGATATATCACTCATCACAGCTTTACTCCTAGATTGCACAATTTACGACATGTCAATATGCGACTTTGATGTACATGTTCTTATGATGGATGTGAAAACAGATTTTATACACCTATGTTCTAATTGAAACAGTATGGAGATCAGTAAAGTAAAAAGATAAAATACAATAAAATAATTGCGAGGTTTCGGGGTTTTGCATTTGCATTTTGAATGTTGGAAATTATAGTATTATAGTGCAAGGACTTGAAAGCAACGAAAATGTTCCCTTTTTATAATAAGTACCTTACACACATGTATAACTTTCACTTTACACGAGAGAGAGAGAGAGAGAGAGAGAGAGAGAGAGAGAGAGAGAGAGAGAGCATGTGGCAAATGAGAACTATAAAACCTGTACCAAATCTGTCGTGACTAAAGATAATTTTAATACCGTTTTATAAACACAAGACTGAAAACACATGAATATATAGCGGATTTACGTTTTGATTTATTCAGTATTGTTTGTATATGTTCAGTGGCAAATATTTTATGAATATCCCATCAAAGATTTGTCGCAAGTGTTATCTAACATGCAGATAGCGTTAATTTATCGTGAATGCGCTCTGTTCTGTTATAATAGACAGATTGAAAATGAACAATGAAAAATGCAGGATAATGCAGGAAATAGTTATGAATCAGAGTGAAAATAAATTAGCTGGTGAAACTTTTTATTTCATCCTCAAATAAAATCCTCATGCCCTCTCCCCCTAAAAAATCAAATAGTTGTCTCCAGAGGTCATCGAACGACATTCAACAATGAGCGAAACCCATACCGTATAGAAATCTATATTAATATAAATAGTCCGACATGACGAAAACAATATTGTATATTTTATAACACTGCAACTTATATTGATGATTTTTTATAGATTGTTATTCGGAGAGGACTACATAAATACGATCATTTTGTGCTCAATTCATTATTTGAATTTGTTTTATTTTTTTAATACATTCATGACAAGAGAACCGGAATTCGTTTAGAATGTTGATACATCTATCATGAGATCTATAAGATAACTTTAAGAAAATGTGGCATGAGTGCTAGTGCCAATGAGACTATTCTCTCATCCAAGTCACAATTGGTAAAACTAAACCATTATAGGTCAAAGTACAGCAAGCTATAAAGGTCCCCATAAATGACTAGTGTAAAACCATTCAAACAGGAAAAAAACGGTCTAATTTATATAAAAAAACGGTCTAATTTATATAAAAAAAACGAGAAACGAGAAACACTTATGAAACACATCAACAACGACAACCACATATAAAAGTATGTTAACGTATATCCGCAATTTTCCTTAAATCAATGAAAGAAATTTCCTATATGATGTGTCTCCTATTGTCATTTCTTATCTTGTCTACTTAACCGGAAACTACAAATTAAGCAATGTAAATTTTAATGGTTTTATGGAAGTTTTAAATAGTGACTTAATAAAAGTATATTATTATTGCTGTTATTTCTGTCATAATACTGGTATAAATGGTACTTATGGATTTCTAAAGTATGACCAGGAATGTGGAAGCGGTGCATATATACTTATTTACGATGCTACTATTTTTTTTATTACATAAACTGAACTAACGTGTTAATTGAACCGAAGTCTTATCATCAAACACGTCACACTGGGTGGACAACATGCGTCCTAGCTGTGTTTCAATCAATAGGCGGGTGATACGGAACAGACGAATTTGTAAGCAATTAACACATTTTTATACATACATGTATATGTAGTTTTTGAACAGCAGTGTTCGAAATTCGTGCAAACATCGGATGCTGTATTTTTCCATTGAGGAGTTATATTGATATAATGAAATTTCTTTGTCTGCGTATTCTCAAATGGTAGCACTAAGTCTTGTGATTGCATCATATATACTAACTTGGTGAGTAAAAATTTCACTTTTGATATGAATATTTAAATTAAATTTCACCCTTGTTTGTTGACGTAACTTTTGTCACATTTGAATTTGATATGGATATCAATTGAAGAGGGCAAGACATTTATTAGTTTACCCTTTCAAAACATTAAATATCAAAAGATGAAGTATCCCGATAAAAAAGTAAAATTTACGGAAACGGTCGCATGCGCTGTCCACAACTTTTAAAAATGAGTAATAAAAATATGTATGAGGCATATATTTCTTAAAAATGAATAGTAGGCATGAGCTTTTGTCAAATTTTTCCAAAAATGTGGACAAATAAAACAAAATATTAATTATTTGATTTTACTGGTGTGAATT